GGGGGGGGGGGGGGGGGGGGGGGGGAGGAGGCAAGAGAACAGACAACCAGAGACTGAAACAGGAGACTGAGCCCAACAGCTAGTGAGTGAAAGAGCAAAAGGAAGAGAGAGAGACAAAGCGAGAGAGAGAGAGAACGAACAGGCGGTGGGGGGGGGGGGGGGCAGCTGTAGGGCACTAGAGCCTGTGTGGGAAGGGTAAATACAGCGAAAGGAGGCACTGTGACTTCCTGTATGTGTGCTTTGGTGGAGGATGTGCTACAGGCCAGAGAAGTGGCTGAACGAAGGAGTGAGACAAACGAGGATGATCTTTCTGGAGAGTGCGGCAGCCGGTACGCAGTGCCGCTGTATTCCTGACCCACATTTGATTTGTTTTACTTAAATCGCACAGAAAACACCTCCCTGAGGGCTAAATTTGGCACGGACACTTCCAGAAAAAGACCTGAAGCAGATGCATTGGAGGAAAAAAAAAAAAAAAAAACAGAACAATCCCCTTTCCGAGGGATTATTAATAACTGGAGGAAAACACAGACAGACACAGTAGCTCCCAGCTGACCTGCTGACTGTGGGGGTGCAGGGGACAAGCAGGCCTGCCAGACTGAGGCCAGCTCGGCGTGGCTGACTGGGCGAACCCCCGACCTGGGGCAGAGGAGGCCGTCCAACCCCACCGGCATCGCCAATCCAGCCCACCTGCCCAACACCTGCCCTCCGTGCCCAAACGGCAGGAAACAGCAGATTTCCAGCTCCCCCCCCCCAATTAGGACTATTTAAGGAGGAGGAAATGATGACATGACCTTCTACGTCCAGGTATTATCTGGGGATATTTGCCCACGCTCTCTGACATCCGTACAGCAGAGGTTTAGTGCCGCAATCCGCAGATAACTCTGGCTGAGGTGTAGCTAATTAGGCAGCAGACTCTTCTCTCTCAGTCAAGTCTCAAAAGCTATATTGACTTAAATGTTTTTTAATCCAAGATCTGAGTGCCAAAAGCAAATCCATCTTACATGCACTGCTCATGTGCAATATTGTCTAATACAGTGGCTGTCAAACTTTTTGGCCCGAGTTCCACTTCGGATCAAACCAAAGTAACCAAGGAGAGAATATGAAAAACATCTTAATCAACTTAAAAATGACTAGAACATTTTATATCACCTAATGTAACATTGATTTCAAACGCTCAATACCTGTTTATATCATAGATTTTCTCGCCTACCACCTGGGGGAGCTCCGAGTTCCACGGTTTGAGAACCACTGTTCTAATGTATGAATAATGACAATGAAGGATTAAATGACTTTCCAGACCATTCTCAGAGAGGTCAGCGGAGATGCCCACACTGACAGATACCCAGCCCTGTCCTGCACTGTGCTCTGCCCAAGATTCCCAGTTCCTACCTGTTCTCTTCAAAGCGGCTGATGAGGGCAGACACCTGGGATTTCCTCTCCCGGATCCTGACCCTGCCCTCCTCCATTGCGCCTCCGAGATCTCCCGTCTGGGCAGCAGTTGGATGCAGTTCTGTCAGCAGGTTCTGGAGTTGAGGCGGCTTGGTAGGCACTGATGGAGGAAAAGTGCCATATCACAGAAGGGCCACAGGGAGGCAACAGAAATGTTTCCATGAAGAAAGTATGACAAGTACAGAACTAATGCTATAGCCAATAAATAATATGATATATAATATAAATAAATAATGCCATGTGCCAAACACTGCAGCACAGATACTGTAAGTACTGTTCAACTTACTAGGTAAGTACTGACAAATACTGTCACGGTGCAACACAATTATTGCACTTTTTAAAAATGTTACTTATTCTATTCTATTTTCTATCATATTACTTTCAGAATGATTGACACTCTCAGTCGGAGGGTCTGCAACCTCATTTCGTGGTGCACGAGCGCAATGACGATACAGTTGACTTTGAGCATCATTGTACATTTTCCTGTCGCATGTTAAGTGAACAGATGCCTCCTGTGGCAAAGTGGTGCCTGTAGATCGGGGGGTGCGGGTTGGACCCGTACCTGGTGGTTTGGGCGGCAGTCCCCGTCCATTTAAACACCTCTCGCCATTCCCAGGCACATGGCTGGCTGTCTCGCCGGATGGGACACGTTCACAGGGCTGGCGGATAGTGGCTGGTGAAGCAGAACGCAGCGTGTTAGTGAAGGTAACTGGAATGCTGTTTAGCTGGATGTTTCTGACAGAAGTAAACGTGTTGTTTGATAGCACTGTGCTTACCGGTCAGGCAAGCGAAAGTCCTATAAGGGCCCTCAGTCGTAAGGCTCTACAAGACCTCTAAACCATGACAGAATCATTTATGGCATTTCCTTAATGGCTGCTTCCTGGTAAGGTCATATCGCCACAGAACAGAATAGATATTACACAATGCATGCTGAGTCTTGGACAAGGCAATTGAGGTGGTATTTTCAAAAGCAACGCCATTCTGGTATTTGGAAATATCACAGTGATAAATTTTGCCGAGTGATTTTTTTTGGTCGCCAAGATTTTCAGATCCTGTGGCATTACCATATTACCATAATTCCGCCAAAGCGTAATTCTACCTTTCTATCAATCCATCCAAAATTCCCTCCAAAGATCGTGCACCTTAAAAAGTTTAACCTCCACGATAAACATCCGGTTATATCAAAAATAACGGTACTTCAAAGTGTTGGTTTTCCACTGATGTAAAAACTGGTTCCAGAGCTGAATGACAACACAGTGCAAAGGAAAAAAGGAGATACAACAAGATTAAGGAGCCATTAAAACAAACACCAAGACTATAGTCATATAAGAACATAAGAACTATACAAACGAGAGGAGGCCATTCGGCCCATCGAGCTCGCTTGGGGAGAACTTAACTATAATCATGCTGTGTAAAAATTCTGGAGTTTAAACAAATACCGCACAGTTAATGACACCTTCTTCCAAAACAATAACACACACGAACTGAGTCCAAAACACCCCCTTTAAACAGTTTGGATGCAATTAATATGGATGACCTATTGGAAATGTCAAAAGCTGACATTAACTCATGCTACAACCAACACATTTTACACAGCTGCATGACATTTTCCTTCGTTTTCAGCAATTCACATTAATAGCCACATTTATCCTGTTGAAACCAAGATATTTATAGAGAGGACCTTTGTGAAAACTCCCACAAACGCCTGTGTGCTGCACACCAGTCTCACACCAAGACCTGGCAAAAGTGTTACTTCCCTGTCTGATAAGGCAGCGGAGGGAAATGCCTGCCTTGAGCAGCCTCCCCCGAAATCTCGGACCGATCGGCATCCAGCGAGCCGGTCGGCTCTAGGCACTGGGGAGGGGGACCAAATTTACCCCGGCGGTGGGAGGAGGTAGGGAGCATGAACCAATATGGCGCGTTGCTGCACCCACCACAGAGCAAACCACCCCAGGGATGAGAACCCGAGTGCAGCCGTGCAGCAGGTGATACCTCAGGACCACACTAGGCTGAATGGAACAGTGTGAGCTTTTCTTCTGCTGGCTGGAGTGCCAATCCTGCCACCAACCCCCAAATGTTTCCCTGTAAGTTGGAGGACCTGCTTGCAGGGCTGGATGTAGGTTAACATCATACCCAGGACAAAGCAGTGCAGGTTAAGGGCCCTGTTCGGAGCGCAATGGAGTAGGATCATTCCTAGCATTCACAGGATTTGAACCGGCAACCTTCCGACGGCTGGCATGGATTCCTGGCCTCTGCCGATATGTCCCCCACATCACTGGCACTAGGGAGCCCTTTCTGACAGAGAACCAAATGCTGTTGGTTCTTAAATATTCTCTACTTTGAGTTCTGCTCCATGAGGGACTGTAAGTGTTGAAAGCACAGATCAGACAATTAAACAAAAAAAAAATCACCATATATTTTCTTGGCTAAGAGCAAACATCTAACAAGCTGAAATAAACAGGCTTATTTGGAGTCACTGAGGATAGAAAATGTTTGATTCTGATTAACCGGGTCAGCTTACACACTCCTAGCTCTTCGGTGTCTTTAAAACTCTGAAATGTGGTCTTGAAACGCTGCTCTCTCTGAAGAACCCACTTCTGGTGCTGTTTAAGGTACCTGAATCTGTCCTGTTTATTTACAGCTTTTTATGGTCCTGGACTTTCCTGACTATCTCAGAGGAAAGATTGTCCAGATAAACCATGTCAGGGAGGACATTTTGAGATAGGACAGGGTTTGTAAACTGCCATTTCAATTAAAAAGACCTGGATTTCACTTAAGCGCTGAGTTCTTGCTGTGTGCCGATTGGTCAGTCTCCTTCAATCATGCATATGTCACTGATGTTAACGTGAAACAGCTGGACGAGTCCTTCAATCAACGAAACAAACCAGTTAAAGTGCAAGAAGAACTGAACTAATTAGCCAAACACAGCTTTCAGTTTTAAAGAAGTTTGTAAAACCTGAAGTAACCTGTCCTCACTGACGTGGAGTAGGTGGTTACCAGAAAACAGATCACTGCAGAAACATACCGACATGGAGCTGTGTCCTTCAGATTCAGCTGGAGGACCGACCCCAGGTACCAAATTCTGGCTTTAATCAAGGTCAGGTTTAGGCTCAGAACCAGGAGAGGTCACAGGATCTCAGGGGCCTCTCATGCATTCCAGTGGCCTGAAGCCTCCGCAGGTCAGTGCTGGAGCCCAGATCACATGACTGAGTGAAAGAGGAAGTGAAATACTTCCCTCCATGCAGCCGACCCCAGGCGGCTGACAGCCTTCATGAAGGCAGTGATCATGGCTGATAACAGTCTGTCTTTGCATTTGCCTGTGGCTCTGGGGGCCTTTACGTTGAGGGGGCGTCTGTATTTCTGGCCGAGCGTTTCTGCTATTTGTGGGGCTGTGACTGAGCACGACCCCTTAAGGTCAGCCGCACAGCCCAGCCACTCGTACCAACTCTCTCTCAGATCCTCCCCGTAGGCGCCCACAGAATCGAACCACCTCATTAAGAACAAACACACACAGTGCATACCCCAGTCACAAGGCATGCAAACCTTTCCAGCAGCAAGAATTACAGCATTACATTCACAACCTTCAAGAAGAAACGGTTTAAAGCAATTCTATTTGATCTATACGCACAGGTGACCTGAGTAATCTGGACTGAGGATCACTTGCAGAGCAAGCTTCCCATTTATTTATTTAATACAAAGCAACAAACAACTGGCTTGCATGTTCTCCCCGTGTCATCGTGGGGTTTACTCCAGTTTACCCCCACAGGCCAAAAACATGCTGAGGTCAACTGGAGTTACCAAAACACCCATAGGTGTGAAGGGTGTCCGGCGATGGGATGGCACCCCATCCAGGGCTATTCCCTGTCTTGTGCCCTGCGATGGGATGGCACCCCATCCTGGGCTATTCCCTGTCTTGTGCCCTGCGATGGGATGGCACCCCATCCTGGGCTATTCCCTGTCTTGTGCCCATAGGCTCTGGAGTCCCGCAACCCTGAGTAGGTCAAGTGGGTATAGAGAATGGATGGATCACGGTACAATCTGTAAGCAGCATCACTTCCAAGAGCAACTGGGAATTAAGGGCCTTGCTCCAGGCTCTGAAAGTCATATCACCCTTCTAGTCATGGGATTTGAACCAGCAACCTGCCACACACAGGCAGCATCTTAACACTCTGAGCCACAGTGGCCTGGTCACCTGGTTGCTGGGACAAAACAAATAACTGCTTTTTCCACATTAAATATACATGGCAGAAAGCATCTAAAGACACCTGTGTGACATATTACTGTGTCTGCAGTGAAGGGGAACCTGGCTGCTGACATGACACTGCAGTCACTGCGTACTGTGCCACCCTCACTGACCTGGCGGCCTCATCCAATCGCAGATGCTGGGTTAAATCTTTTCATTGGCCTGCCGGGTGTGAGGCCGCCCGCGCTGGGCACTGTGACTTCATAGAAATTGAGCATTTAACAAAATAGAGAAGTGAAAAAGAATTAGGGGAAGGATATTCAAAGAGCGTAGCACAGACGTAGCCCAGTCCTCTTCTCCAATAACCAGAAGCCCCACCCACAGCGCCCCACCTCCTGGGGTATCTGGGACGAGGAGGGGTAAATTTTCCCCAGGTAGGGAACACAAAAATACACATTTACCATGGAAGACAGCGCGAGGAAGAATGAAAAATTATAGAAATTATGGAAGGCTCTGCTGATGTTGATGGCGGTGTGGAATAAGCCATTTTTAGATCACCACAAGACTTTGAAATTGATTTTAAATATGAATTTAAACATAGGATACTGTAATTATGTAAGTGAATTAGTCATTTCTAATACATTTGCCCAGTTGCACACGGCCTGACTTACCAAAGTCTGACACAGTGCTGTCATGAATGAGGAAGTGTGTGCAGAGACTTACGATGTACATCGAATGGGGAGATGTCTGCCACTACTGACGGTGATATGTACTTAGATATTCCTCAGGTCTGCCTGGACAAGGGGACATTGTCCTCATTTTGCGCATACAGGCCCCCGACTGTGTCCAAGCTTAGGGAGAGAGACCTGAGCTCTGGGCCTGTTCATGAATGCAACCACCAGCACGTGTTGAGGGCGGCCATCTGAGTGATGTGATCCTCAACCGAGACTCTCAATGGCTGACTGCGAAGCTCCACTTTAGGGATGTGGACAGAACTTCCATGCACAAACATCCCAGGGTTACGCAGCATGCCTGTTTATTGTTTGTCTAATGTGGAAAGTTTGTTACGTTATGTCATGGGATGTTATGTACTAAAAACTGCTAGTGGCCTTCCTGCTCTCTCTCTTCCCCTTAAATTATTAATAATTGTACAGGATTTTTTTTTGCACCACAGATCACTCTGTGTTTTTCACTGCTGTGTCTGTCGTGTAATAAATGTTCCACGGTGAGATCAGGAGGAAGATCGTTTCATCTGACGGTGGACTGTACGTGGCACAGATAGCAAAGCATTACATGACATGAAATACGCATTAGCCCCAGGTAAGATACTCAGCAAGTCCAGATTAGCAGGTGGAGCAGACAGACATGTTTTTGCTTAAGTACATTAAGGCGGGGCCTTATCAAAACCAGATTTAACATTTACTAAGTCTGTGAGACAGCAGGGAGATACGATATGTCTGCCTTCATCTCAGGTAAGAACAGGAATCACAGTAGCACGAGGCAGCAAGTGGCCGGTCAGCCCATCCCGACACTCCTCTCTGAGGACACGGCAGACCCCAGATCTGCCCTCATTCACACAGAACCTTAATAAATAGTCCAGAGGCAGGTGATCCCATCAAGGAGTAAAAAGAAGAAAAAAACTGGAATAGACTGCTTTTATACCCAAGACGCATGTAAATAAACTAGGTTTAAACTGGCACAAAAAAAAGCCTGGAGGACTTTGCAGTTAACATTCCTGAAACTTAAATTAAACCCTGTCAGCAAAAAGCATTGGCATCAGGAGAAGCAGGTACCGAGCAAACGAGCAAATCGTATCCGTCCGCTTACCTGAACCTGCCAGCGGGGTCTAAGTTCACGGCCCGCGACAGCGCACCGATCTGTACCAGGATCGGAGCCCCGCCCGCCCCCTCATGCAGCTCCTGCAGCTCATTCGCTGGGAAACTCGGCCATGTGACTACGGTATCACGGCACAAAAATGCAGGAGCACGCGCGACCTGTCAGATGAACACTAAAATTCCTGAGAGCGAAGGCCACCGCGAGCTTGAGCTGCACCTCGAGCAGGAAGTTTGTGCTGCTGCCTCTGAGACGCTGTTATCTGTTTTCTCCTGTGCTTTTCCCTTTAGCGGCACCTGGAAAATGCGGCCCAGAGTGTGAACAAACCGAGGCCGAGAGCTGCAGGCCCGTGTGGGCGAGAACCTCACTGCCCCCTGGTGACCCACCCGTAGCGGCTCAGACACGCTAAGGACACCCTGGCCGGCTTGGGGGGGGGGTGGGGGAGTGAAAAAGGGACTTCCTCTTACCTTCAAAGGACCCACGTACAGATTGTCCCCGACTTGTGTCTGGGTTACGTTCACATCAGGGTGTATTTATAAATGGACATATGTCAGGACTGGTATATACCAGGGATTCTCAAAGTCCGGACCACAGGCCAAACCACAAGATAATCCGGACGCAGCTGATGATGCACCTTATATATCAATATGGTTGACGTAAAAAGGCTTAATGTGGTTTTAAGTGCAAAAATACAATGTAGAACCACCAAACCCGAAACACACAACTCATCCTAGTCCCCCTCCTCCCAAATGACAAAGTGTCGAAAGGATCAGCCAGCGTTAAACCAGCCTTTAAACAGGGCTGTGAACTTTCATGCTTTCAGACTCTCGCGCAAGAAACCTTACGACAAATCTATTCCATTACAAACCTAAAATTAGCTACATCAGAAGTGCTGGAGTAGTTTGCAAACTGTGACGGTGGTAAGAGCAGCGGTAGCCTAACTGCTAGGGAAGTGCTCCTGTGACTGGAAGGCCGCTGGGTCGAATCCCCCACTGGCAAGGTACGACTGGGCTACCCTGAGCAAGATCCTACCCCCAGTGCTGTTCCCTGGGTGCTGAATTAGCCGCCCCCTGCTGTGTCACATATGGGTTAAAGACAGGGGACGCATTTTGTTGCTGTGGTGTTTCAACAACTAATCACATTCACCAAAACTACTACATCTGTGTTTGTGCAAACTTGTCGCTAATTGAAAATCTTACCCCAGCCAGCTGACTGAAGTGGGTAACGTTGTTTGCGTTATAAACTGATGTCTAATACCAAAAGTTTTTGTTAATTCATTAAAGTTGAAATGCTGACTTTAACAAAAATGTGATGCGGTCCATTTCTTTGAGATCCCCTGGTTTATACAGTACAGTGTAGACTTGTTAGACATTTTCTTACGTGATTCTGTAACTTCTCTTTCAAAATTTTTATTACTGTTGATCAGTTATTACATACACACGTGTATATCCTGTAAGCGGCTAGGTAGGATAGGACTGCCAGGCGTTCAGCTAGCCGCAGTTTATTTTCACATACATTTACGTTTTGTTCTTTCCAGTTGTATGTGTGAGTGGTCCTGAGTCGCACAGGCGATACGTCACTGACAGCCTGTTTCATATATACAGCCAGCCCTCCATATCCTCGGGTTCAGCCAGGCATGGATCGAAAAATATTCAAGAAAAGTAAAACGCTCCTATCCTTCGGATTTGCCGTATCGGTGAGACTGAACGCCAGAGAGACTCCCCTTTCCCATTTACCCATGCTGTGATGATTACTGTGCTGATGATGAAAGATATTGTTTTAAATTCGGCATATGATCCCGTGTCTTTAGAGTGAAGGCAAAAAAAAAGAATTTTATTTTACATTATCAAGTCATTTATTTGGCTGCTGTATGTCCCCGTGTTATTTGAGCAGTACGTATTTGTGTAAATATAAATACTATGACATTTTATATAAGGGACTTGAGCATCTGCGGATTTTAGTATCTGCCGGGGGTCCTGGCACCAATCCCTCACAGAGAAGGAGGACCAATGGTATATTTTTATAAAATTGAAGAGCACTTGGTTCTTTCAAACAACTAAAAGTTCAAACGGCCACATTTCTAGTCCGGAATTCACGCCAACATCTGTCACATTCTGGCCTGCACGCACCACCTCGACAATTTATGCGCTGGGTTAAATTTACTGGCAATGAGAGGCTTTAACTTCCTCCTTGCTGCAGTGAACAGCACCTGCCTCCGCCACCGGGGGCACTGCAGCGTAGCCTCTCGCTAGACAGCAGGTGGCTAAGCCAGATAAGCACTGGGAGAATGTGCTATCAGATGCTCTTCGCGGTTCTCATTCATGGTGTACTTAAAAAGCAGACATATATACCTGCCATCTGTTGTGAATTCTTCCTCATTTAGTGGAACACCAGCCTCCCAGTTAGGGATGCTGCCCTGTAGATTGGCCATGTGTCCTTTCAGCTCTGAAGACCGGTCACCCTCTGGCCTGTTAAATACCCACTGCTTGGCTTTCACCATTCCATGCACTGCTGGGGGGAGGGTCACCACATCAGGACCAGCTGAGGGCCTTGTCTCATCCTTGGTAGCTCAACAAGCAGAGCATTGTGCTAATCAATGTAAAGGTTGTAGGTTCACATCCCGGGGCAGACACATAAACCATCAGATAAATGAATAAAATAATAGAAGGTATGATAACAGCTACCTGACCTATCAATGTTTGGTTTAATTCATCGGGAACCAATAAAAACCCATAATAAAGGGATCAAACCAATGGATGACCAACGGCAGATGATAATCCCACCCACCATGTACAGAAGCCTTTTCCCCGCCACTTTTTGTACCTGGGCCCTGAAATCTCCTTTACATCTGAAACCTAAAAGGCAGGTTAACTCTGAAAAACTGAAGGTCTGCAGTAGCTCGGAAGCAGCCCACGGTACCACCACTTTGAGGTTAACACTCTGCAGTTATCAAGACACACTTCATTCCAAAATAGCTTCTCATCTTGGCCCCACATAAATCACACAGGACGTTACATTTCTTTGAAGAGGTTTAGAAGAACTTTGTTTCAACAAATGTAATAGTACAGAATTGCTCTGTACCTAAGGACAAACATTAGCGTGAAGGTTCACAGCTGCCCACGTCATTCGCTAAGCCTGCTCAACACGTCCATTCTCAACGCAGCTGCCTCTGATGTCAACCAGATGAAGTCATCACATGAAGACGAATTGGACCAAAAGGAGAAAGACGACCCTGTGAGGAGTGTGAGGGCAGTGGCCGTAAACGAGCCCTTACCTTTATGTTGGAAGGCGTTCAACCTCACCCGATGTTCACCACCATCAGCCTCTTCATCCACCAACGCATGGACGTCATTCGCCTCTGAAATAAACACAAACCACTCAGTGCCTGACACAAAACTCACACCCAGCTATGCACCAATGTCAGTGCAGATCATGCGAGATGAGGTTTAAAAATGGTGATGTGAAACTTGATGTTTAAAATGTGATTATTTAATGATTCTTGCTTTAGAAGACTGCAGGACTCACGACTACAACTACTTTGACCAAGCGTACAGTCGTGCATTTATCTTACACAGTTAAACATGATGTGATCAGTGAGTTTGAGAAAGCCTTTGTCACAGAACCACATATCACCTGCTGCCATGTCACTGAATGTCACAGCCAGGATGTGGCCTCATGACAGAATACCTTCAGCACCGATTCTGAAGGCAAACTTAGCCACTGCTTAGTAATCAGGGCACTCTGCCACATGTAAAATCGCTTTGCTTGGAGAATTCGAAATTAAAACGCAACGACTCTTCCAGATGATGGTAGCAGGGAGGGGACCGGATGTCTACAGGGTTCAGTGTTTTGAGACCTAGGATTATAGGTTCTCCAATGACCATCTGGACACGTCCATCTAGATCAGCCAGCGGGTCAGCAATCCAGGGCCCAGCATCTGGCCATGCCCAACCCAGTAAAGCCTGACAAGAAACAATGGAGTTCCTACAAGAGGAGTGACAACAGCGCCACCCTGTTGGTGAAGGACAAACCCAAACGACAATATGGGGTCAGGGTAATGGAGGTGAAAGCCATGAAGGTATGAAGGTTTGAGGTTCCTGAATCTGTATTTGGTGTTCAGGAACCAGCAGTAAAGTGTCTGACCCAGATGGGAGATCAGCCAATGAGCTCTCTGACCAGGAAACACTTGACCAGATGCATTAATTCCTGAGTGAAGGCAGGAAATGCGTATTTAAGACTTCCCTTCTCTCAGATTTCTACACCAGATATGTTTGCGTAAAACCTTGCCTTGTACAAAACTGCACAATAGAAAAACAGCTTAGAAAAAAACAGGGTTGGGGAAAATCACTCAAAACCAAATGTCTATCCAACACTATCAAATTTAATAATATCTATATCCGAAATTCTCTTCTCAGACACTTTCTTGTCACCTTCTTCACCCGATATTATGTCAGAGAAGCAGATATGATGAAGATACATATTTCCAAAACAAAACACATGAGCCAGGGGGCCGTGGGGAACGCCTTCACGGACCAGTGCTTCAGATCTTCTTCCACAATGCAAAACGTAAACATGTTGCAGATCAAATTGTGTTATACTCATATCATCCCCCTATTTAACATTTGATGGATAATTTTCAGGCTAAAAGTCACATAATAGCAGAACTGTGTGTTGATCTCTCCTTCCAGACTGGCATCCCATCTTCGGTGTCCTCCAGACTGCTGCTGCCTGTGATAGGCTCCAGGCCCTTCCTGTGGCACTGACCAGGCTAAGTGCTTAGATGGTTGGATCTGTGGATGGAGCACCTCATTCCTCTGTGGCACCTATGACCCAGCTAGAAGCCGAGCTCTATAATTCAGCAAACGACGAGATGTCCACCATGTGATCAAATATCTGCTGACATGAGTCACACCCTCTACGCAAAACCTGGTTCCGCGAACAGTTAGTCTTCATCACATGCTTCTCGAATCCAGGGGGAGGAAAGTGGTGTCATGAAGAGGTGCAGCGAGAATGGAATACCCCCCCCCCCACACTTCTGAGGCTGGCTAACAAGCCTCCATTCACGACGGCCACCCACACGCAACGTACAGGAGAGTTTTTCACAATAAACATCAACACTTCGGCTGTGAAATCCACTCACAATGGGATCAATGCAATACACGGTAACAGTTCACAATGAACTGCTAAAAGAGGTCTGCAAAAACCAAAATGATTGCATCTACATCATCATTTTCAAAATCAATCTTCATGTTAAAGCACAGAAAACACAGAAAATGAATCCCCACATGCAGGAGATTCACTCCAAACAGGTTGTGGTGATAATGAGATCATCTCCAAATCAATCTGAACCACCACAGGTTCTCAGCCACAGCAAATAAAAACTAAGGACGCAAATATAAACAGTGACTCTTCCATAAAGAACAGTCCTGCTCATGATAGAGTGAGCCTGACGACGACTATGAAGTTCTCGAGAAGATCCTCGCTCACACCTCACAGGCAAGCGGATCTCCACGGCCACAATCCAACCATGCAAAGAGCGTCTAGTCTTGAGGCCCCTGCTGCAGTGCACCTGAGAGATCAATTCTGAGTACAAGACGCAGCTTTGCTGGAAAGTTGCCCAGCTGCTCTGCACAAAGGTCACAACCTGCAGTGAATGACACGGGACACATCAAACTTTCCTGTGTTGCGATTTCGAGTTGCTGTCCACCCCGGCAGCACTTGCCCACTACTTACACACTTCTGTGCTTCTATTTCAGGTGGACTTTTGCCTTTCCTACTTCCACTTCCCTTTTGCACAAGATCGTGAAGAAAGTGCATTCGTCAGTCGCTTTGAGTCAGTGACCCTATTCTGAGGCAGAGGTCTCTGACTCGGGGACCCTGGGGGAGTAAAGGCAGCGGTAAACGCAACTCGAGGCACCCCTTCGATATGCTGCCTCTTCCCTGACCCCCTCTCTCAAGCCAGTTCTGCGATTAGCTTACGGAATAACGACGGAGGAAGTGGACAAATGACCGTGCCACAGTAAGAACCACCACTCCTGGGGAGGCCACATCGCATGGCCCGAAAGCACGGACGGAAGAGCAGATGAACGAGAGAATGTTCCTCACTGAAGGCATCATGAAAGAGCCCTTGTGTATGGGAGGAGGGGAGCCTGACCTCAGCAATCAGGCCGGGAATGTGGCCACGGAACGGATCCAGAGGTCCGGTCACTGGCAGGAAACGGGCCCAGCACTCGGGGTGCGTGACGCCCATTAGTCAGGCTGAAAGAGAAAGACTGGAGACTGAAAAATCGCTAACTTTGCCCCCTGAAAAGGTTACAGCCCATCCTCACGGTCTGAACCTGAAGGACAGACGCAGACTCAAACAGAAACGTGTTCACCCCCAGGTGCTTCCTCTACAACTATAAAAAAAACACAGACATCGCAAGAAACTGTGTCACAAGAGTGAAACCTGCTGCTCTGAGCACCAGCAGAGCAGTGTGGGCCGAGCTGCATGCAGGTGTGAGAGTGGCCGGCTTTGCACTAGAGATCGGACCCCCGAAACAAGCCTGATTCCCGTCCCCATTTGCTGCGACGCCTCATTAGAGGCTGAGGACTTGAGCTCAGCAGGCGTGCTGATGAAAAGCCCCCCCCTCCTCCTCTGCTGGCTGCCCTTTGTGAGCCGTTCCCCCATTTAATCCCCCCTCAAATTCCCTTAGATCTCCACAACCCCCCCCCCCCCACACACACACATCCTGCCTGTCCTCTCAGGCTGGGGGAGCTCTTTTGGGGCTGCGGGTCACTATGCCACGTCGGACTGGTTAAAGGCACCGTCAGCAGGACCTGGTCCCGCTCTGTCGGACCCAGGCAGCACAGAACCCCGAAATACATTCAACCCCAAACATCAGATCTGTCCTTCAGGACCTCACAACCCATTTGGATATTGTCCTTAAACCATACAAGTATTTTTTGTTTGTTTTAAACATCCAAGAATCTGTAAATACCACAGCGTCAAGCAACCTTAAACTTGTTCCCTGTTGATACAAGCACATCTCTGTCATGAAACATCACTCAGTGGATTAACAGGTAAAATCAGTCTGGTCAGTGCATGTCTTACCTCCAGCAGCGCAGAGCCGTGAAACACACTCTATAATTACCATTCCCCCTACTAGAGGATGCTTGTTGAAAATGACAGTGACATTATTATCCCCCCCCCGCCCTTTTGTTTACCAGCAGCCGTCCTTCCTCGTTCTGAAACGTACCTTCCCGTTCGCCAGGTCTGAGCCTCGTCCGTCCCACAGGAGTATGCGGGACCGGCGGTAGATTACCGCCAAGGGAAGGTGAGGGTAGCCGGGCGAAGCCGGATACAGCTGGGGAAGTAGACTGAGCTGATAGGAGTTGCTTGTAATCCAGGCTGCGCTCGACCGTGAGACACCCTGCACAGTCACACTCTCTCTGCTGAGGTCTGCGCTGCAGTTCGGGTCCACGCTGAATCGCCACTGCTAGCTGCCTCTCTCCTTTCCACGTTCCCCCCCCCTCTCTCTCTTTCTCGTTCTTCCTCTCTCCAGCCATCAGATCGGGGGGGGGCGATGGCATATCTGAGGACAGACAGCACTCACAGCTTTGAGGTGCTTGCCCAGCAGCTCTGGGTAAATTCCCTCTCTGACTCTACAAAAGCGAGCATCGCTGCATCTTGCCGACCGGGGGACACGGGACGGGGGGCGCACAGAGAGCCCGTACGGATGCACACAAGTGACGCCTTTGTGCTGGGGAGGTCTGTCAGGGGAAGAAGGGGAAGTGGCCGCAGCAACACTGCTGCTGTCGTTTGGCAGGTGCTGGCCGACGCGTGCCTGCACGCACGCACACACACACACACACACACAGCCTGCACGCACACACACACACACAGCCTGCACGCACGCACACACACACACACACACACACAGCCTGCACGCACACACACACACAGCCTGCACGCACACACACACACACAGCCTGCACGCACAGACACACACACACACACACAGTCTGTAAAGCGTAGGGAGGGAGGGGTACACAAAGGAGAGACAGACAGAGTCAAAAAGCTGCACAGATTAGCAAGGTGGGGGGTCCTGAGCTACCACAGCGCCTTCAAAGCCCCGACAGGAAGGGGTGGAACCATCCGGCCGAGCGCCTCTGAATGCAGATGAACCAGTGCTCCAATCCCAGCAGCCCCAGCAGCCCCCTGGCCAAGGACACTGTGGGGAGAAGCTTCCACTGAAATATCTAACATCACAACAGCTCGTCCCTTCCATGCTAGGTGCCAGAGAAGTGGTCCATACTGGAGCACCACCAGCAGGTCAGAGGAACCAGGTGGACAAGCCATAATAACTGCCAAAGGAA